AGTTGTTTTTGGGTTTTCATCTATTCAAAAGATATTTAATGAGGCCGGGCGCTGTGGCTCACGCCTGTAATCCTAGCTCTTGGGAGGCCGAGGCGGGCGGATTGCTCAAGGTCAGGAGTTTCATCCTCTTACTATAAATAGAAAGAAATTAATTGGCCAACTAATATATAGAGAAAAAAATTAGCCGGGCATGGTGCACATGCCTGTAGTCCCAGCTACTCGGGAGGCTGAGGCAGAAGGATTGCTTGAGCCAGGAGTTTGAGGTTGCTGTGAGCCAGGCTGACGCCATGGCACTCACTCTAGCCTGAGCAACAAAGAGAGACTCTGTCTCAAAAAAAAAAAAAAAAAAAAAAAGAAATACACTTCTAAGAAAATCTAGATAAAAGGGGAAAGCATGACTGAAATTGAAATTATTTTAAACTGAATTATAAAAGTATTGTAAAGCAAAGTTGTGGTATGCAGCTACAGTAGTCCTTAGAGGAAAATGTGTAACTTTTAATGTACATGCTAGACAAGGAAAAAGGCTGAAAATTAATCAGCTAGTTATCATCTCAACAAGTCTGAATGACTGGCAAAATATACCAAAAGAAAGTAGAAGGAAATGCTAAAAATCAAGCAGAAATAAAATAAGACAACTGTTTTATTGCTTTGATGAGATAAAACAAAGTGACATCAACAGGAATGGTGAAGTAAGGACTCTGGAAACCTCTCTTCCATAAAAGCAATGAGAACATTGCCAGAAATGGTCAGAATTAATTATTTAAAGAACTCTGAAATTTAAACAAAGGTGTACAGCAAACCAAAGAAAAGTGGCTGAATCTTAGTATAAACCACAAACTTTGTGGCATTTAACTTGCCCTGTTTCTATTCCCTCCCCTTTTGGCTCCACAGTATTCTTAAAACTAAGAGTTCCTATAACAACACTAAAAACCAGCAGCTTAGCTGCTATTGGAGGGACAGGATAGGTTTGGAATTCTCTAAAAACATTATTCTTGGAGAATTGGCATTATTTGAACTGTGCCACTTCACTGGAGAACCCATTTGCAGGCATTTCTTTATTTGACCTGATTGGGAATTCATCCATTGCAAAAATCTTTTTCGGAGGTGGGGGAGAGTGGGGAGAGGAAGGGTGGCATTTACCTGAAATATTTAGTGGCAGTTGCTTAACTTTGTGGCTGCCTGAGGCAGTGGATAACAATTAGCGCAAAAATAGACTAACTACAAGCTCAAAGAAAACAACTGGGAAAGGAGATGTCCACTGGGGCTTTGAAAAGTCCAAACTTTTCAGGCCGGGCGCTGTGGCTCAAGCCTGTAATCCTAGCTCTTGGGAGGCCGAGGCGGGCGGATTGCTCAAGGTCAGGAGTTCAAAACCAGCCTGAGCAAGAGCGAGACCCCGTCTCTACTATAAACAGAAAGAAATTAATTGGCCAACTGATGTATATATATAAAAATTAGCCGGGCATAGTGGCACATGCTGTAGTCCCAGCTACCAGGGAGGCTGAGGCAGAAGGATCACTCGAGCCCAGGAGTTTGAGGTTGCTGTGAGCTAGGCTGATCCACGGCACTCACTCTAGCCTGGACAAACAAAGTGAGACTCTGTCTCAAAAAAAAAAAAAGT